TTGATTTTAATGTAGGAAATTTGTCTTAAATTCTTCATTCCTGAGATATGGTAGCTCAAACATCGCTTACCGCGACTGATTACACGAGGCCCTGTTCTCCAGGAAGATCTGTCAGAGTCTTTTAAACTGTAGATTCTTACTATCAAGTTTGTATACAACAAGTAGAGCCTGATTATTGTGTCATAAACTGTGTATAAGCGTAGAAAACTGAAGCTTTTTTTACCAGTAACTGTCCATTGTGTAACTATGAAGTAGGCGGTGCTTAATTTGAGCCACACCTTTTATTCCAGCCACACCTTTTATTCCAGCCACACCTTCAATTGCTGCAGCAAGCAATGCAAGGCTGAGCAAGCTAATGTGTACAGTAACAGTAAGTCAGCAGCATTCTCTGAAGAACAAATTAATGTTTCATTTGTGTTTTTGAAATTATGTGACTGTAGAACCCTGAATTTTAATTAAATGTAATGTGTTATAATGTATGCCTAGATTTAATTATTGGTTGTATGTCTTGTCTGTAGTAGATCCCTTCTTAATACTTTGTGTTAATGTGAAGCTATTTCATAATTTGTGTATTAGTATATAAATGTTTGATTCTGTTGTTGTTGGTTGATCTTTTGATTGTTAATAATCGTATCTACAAGAGTAATATACTGCAGTTATGTTACACTGATTGTGGCGAGGGCATGTGCTATAGTGCACTCGTTCTGTCATTCTGTCCACACAATTTAATTGATTTGTAAAAAATTATCTTTTTGTTTGAGCAGTCTAGAGCTCTATTTCTTCTTCTAGCAACAGATAAAGTTGCTTTCTTTCATCTAATTATGCTCTTGTAGCATCCCGTGACACCAAAAGCTGTGAACTGCTAAACCAGGGGACCTCTCTCCAGGTGAGAGCTCGTGTTTCACTCTACAGGGCCGAGATTTGCTTCAGAGGTAGAAAATCCCATCTAACGAAAAACAAAAAGAACGATTTTGTCCTAACTTCGTTGTTTGTGAGTTACAGTTGCTCAAACTTTGTGATTTAGCGCCGGCCTCTTGGAGAATTTTTCAGGCGGCACTGGGGAAAGCAGGAGCAACCAAACTCTCTCAGTCTCTTTTAAATATCTAGAAAAATTTTCTGTGCCAACTCTTTCTTGGAATAGAGCTTCAGATGCTAAAATAAATTTCAGCTTTTCTTCTTTCTCCTACCCATGTGCCATGATTTAGCTAGTTAGTTGTTGACCACACCCATAGCTTATTTTAATTATCATTATAACTATGCAGTCCATAATAATAATTTTTTTTCAAATTGCTTAAAATATCACAGTACAAGTAATACATATCACTCAAGTGAATTCCAGCAGGTGAGTCCATTGCACCATAGTGCTTCATTAGAACAAGCACCAGTAGAACAGAAAGAAGTGACTAAGATATTACAAAAGAATGTACCCATATACTTATATCAGGAAAGGTTAGCTGTTGTATGGACATGCACTGTTTCATTGTTAACATTTTACTATAGGTGTCATATCCCAATTATCAGTGATACTGGAACCAGTTGAAGATGACTGGTATCACATTGGACAGTGTCTTAAAGTGAAGGAATCAGTGTTAACTGAAATCAAAGAGATGACACCAGTCGACAAGATTAACTCATGTACTTGAGACCTGGTGTCATGAGAAGGATAGAACAATAACTGAACTGAAGGAATCATTGAAAAGAATGGATAGAGATGATATACTGGAAGGTAAGGACTAGTGATTGATATATATTAATTATATTCATGTACTGTACATTGTCATTCACTGCAGGTTTACATGAATTACCTACTGGACAATATACTTTAGCTCTTGACAAAGAAATTCAGTTCAACTATCTTGTACCATCACAAGGTTAGTCCCTGTACTATTAGTAATGTCCATATAGTCTTGGGTCAACTTTGTAAAAAATGAAAAGTAGAGATTTTTTCATTTTCATAATTTTTTTGATGCATATACTTGTTCATATGTTGTGTAGAATGTTTGAGCCAATTTTGATCAAATTTAAATTCTTTTACAAATTTTTGAAGTTACTCTAAAATTGGATGAAATTCCCTGTATTGTACAGCGTCTCAGGTCAAATTTTGTCAAAAATAAAAAGTAAAAATTTTCCATTGTTATAATTTTCCCTGATGCCTATTCATGTACTTGTTGTATAGAAAGTTTCAGCTAATTCTGATTAAAATTAGATTTTTTACAAATTTTTGAAATTGCTCCAAAATTGGACGAAAGTCCCTGTACTGTAGCAACCCAAATTTTGCGAAAATTGAAAAGGAGAGAATTTATCAATTTTATAATTTTTTCTGATGCATATACATGTTTTTATGTTGCGTTTCAAGTTTGAGCTAGTTCTAATCAAAATTAGATTTTTTTATGAATTTTTAAATTTGCTTCAAAA